TATCATAATAGATACATAGCACATATTGATCCAAAGAACTTATAACAATTTATTAGTCTTCAAAAGTATTTCAACTTGATTCCATAAATATGCAGTGGATTCATAACTTTAAAACTTCAAAGGAAACATAACATCTTTTAAACAACTTAATTCAAAGAAAACAACTTCTTAAAATAACAACTTGAATTAAACTTAAAACATCATAAAATCAAATAAGCGTTCATCCCCCCCGAGTGCTACGTATCAGAGCGACAACACCAACAAGCTACTAAGTCTTTACTCCTCGTTATCTGCACGTTACCAGTATAAAGGCAACGGCGAAACAAATAAAAGGGTGAGACATCGAATAATATAAATAAGATTATGATAATTAATATATTAGACAAGAGCATTATAAACTTCACCGCTTCTCAACAACACACAACAATCAATAAACATTCACAATTATCATTAGCGATTCAAAATGCAATTCGAATGCGACACAACTGTGCATATGCATGTGGTACCAACAGGGCTTCAACCCTCTTCACTAATTGCCAATTAATAGAGGCACAAGGCATAAGCCTACTTCACAAATCCGCCAATACAGGCCTTCACAAAATACAAATGTATGAGACTCATGTAACATACAACATCACATATATATCATTCACCACAAACTTCATTACGAGGCATTCGCCTACATCCCTGCATCACTGGAAATAAGCCTAACACTTCACATATTCAATCACATCTCAATTATCTCAAACATCTCATAACATCAAAATAATTTATTAAACATCATTTATTATCACAAAAATCATCGAACACAACTTCATCAATAAAATCTCACTAATACTCAACTGTATAATAATAGTACAGTAACCCATCCTATTATTATGCTAATTTGTATCATTATTGTCACTAATCCTACTGTCATATTTCTAACAGCAGTCTCTAACATCTCATATTCGTCAATCTGTCCCAAAAACAGCACAACAGTCATCTACGAGAATTAATTCTAAATCCTAAATTAGTTACTGGGATTACACTTCTTAATTATCATTTTAATCCTCTAGAATAGAGTTCGTCATGTTAGCTAATCAACGCTTCGAACGGCATCTCAAACAACATCCTACAACTCAAGTTACAACAATTAAAAGTCAATTCTGCCAAAAATCAGACCTTATGTATCAACACAAAACACTATGGGTCGACGCGTCCTGCTTCATCTGCATACTATGAGTCAACGCATCCTCCTTATGGATTGACTCATCCTGCTTCAAATCCCAGCATGTATCGACACGTGCACTCTTCGTGTCGACTCATCTTGAGTCTTATACTTAACATGCATCGACACATCCTCCCTTCGCGTCGACTCATCCTGAGTCTTGCACTCATCATGCATCGATGCAAACCCTGCATGCATCGACTCATCCTGAGTCCAACAGCCTCCTTGCATCGACTCATCCAGTTTGAGGTCGACACATCCTGTGATTTTCTGCATAATTTTCTGCGTTTTCTACTGTATTTTGCTATGGGAATCATACTTCAGCCCTAAAATCCTTATTTTTGATCATGATAATTCATCACCTAATCATTATACCCTATTACTCCATTGATCAAACAACATAATTTATTACATACGAAAATTCAACACAAAATTCAACACAGATAACGGATAATTACACAACCCCGATCCTACATACTAACCATCATATTCCTGGTTATAAAATCTGAACCCCACCCTTACCTTTTGGTTTTTCGGTCGGTCGAATTCTTCGGTTGAAACTGCAACTGGTTTGACGGCGAGTTCTCTAAATTTGCTTGCCCCCCACTCGGTGCCTCCAAACCCTTGCTTCTTCTACTGCTACGTGATAATTGTTTTTCTTTTGGTTTTTGGCTGCTAGCTTCTATATATCATAACCTAATATAATAATAGGTCTACTAGTAACTTTAATGGGCCTATTAATTCTATTCCTAATCCTGCTATTTCACACACCCCACTTGACCCAACTAATAAAATAACATTCTACTAAAATCAACATTAAATCCAATATTAATTTCTCTTGACTAAATTGACTAATTATTCAATTATCAATTCTAACAATCCAATAATGCTCCTAATAATTATTCCGATAATTCCTTCTTCGACTAAATTCCAACAATTTAAATCCTCAATAATTTATTTAAATAATTTAATGAATCTCTCGGCGTTACAGGAAGGACCTGAGTTCAACACTCAGGCCTCACAATTTTGTTTTCTAACTATTATTCTGCAGATCTTGTGTGTTTCAAATCCATATGCTCACCATGCACCTTCAGATCATAACCATGAGATCCCATCTGATCAGATCCAGCGCTCCCAGACGCGCAGCTCACCATACACCCTCAAAGGATTTTCTCACTGGATCCAACTGCAGACTTGGGCTCCTCTCGCTTTGGGCCTACATTTTTTAAACTTAGCCCCTGTTTACTTTTGCTGCCTGGCCCATTTATACTTGTTTACTTTGTTTTTGTTTATTTCTTTTAGTTTATTTTTTTAATCAACATAAAAATCAGAAAAAATATAAGAAACTTAGAATTAGGTTTTATTTTACTTTTTAATAATTTAATTTAGTTAATTATTTTAACTTATTTTCCTCAATTTTTAAAATAAGTAGATTTAGGATTTATTTGAATTCAATTCTTTTCATAAAGTGAAAAATGAAAAAATATTAGGTTTGTTTTAGAGTTAATTTTAATCAATAATTAAATTTTCTTTTCTCTCTTCAATTAATTAGATTTGACTTAATTGAACATTAAGCATTTTCCAAACAAAACAAAATGACAAAAAATGTTCCCTTTCACTTAGGATTTAGACGTTATTTTCAATTCGCGCGCAATTTTATTTTTATCGTTTTCATATTATTGTACCTACTTCCTGGTTTATAATAGAATTAACTAGGACTCTTTTACTGTTTTCTTTATTTCTCCCCCCCATTTTTGGACTTGTAATAATCCCCTTCCCCGAAGCCTTGTAATAGATAGATTTACATTTCCGCGCTTTTAATTACTGCAAATTATTGACTGTTAGATGTATGCCTAATAAGATTGTATCGCAAGAATAAAAAACAAACTCTAGCAAACCTAACACAAGACAAAATAAACTGAATACAACATAATTGTACATATACATCTCTAGGGTATCCCACTTTGGTTGCCTTCAGAAAACAGACACAACTCTCGAAACGTGAGAGATTTTAGTGGCTACCCTCTAGTTTAAAGATCATATATCCTCTCAATGTTACCTCGGTAAAGTGATCTTAAAATCCTAGGGTAGTTACTAAGGTTTCTTGCCTATTTGCCTTTGTGACTGTACACACGTCCCTTTGAATGTCCCTCAAACATTCAATGGTTAGGGCTACCTACTCACTAATAGTATGACAACATTATCTAAAGAAAAAGAGGAAAAGAACAACCCTTTCGAGTAAAAGTAGATAGTTCCTAGATGTTATGCTCAAACAATTTTTACACTTACACAAAACCTCTTTCAAAATCATTTTCAAATACTTTGTATATGTTCTCTACTATTCCGATAAACATTATAAAGTTCTCCGCACTAAGGCGCTTTCAAAAATACTTTTCAAAACACATAAAGCACAAGGTATTTCAAAATGAGCTAAGCATCTAAGAGCCCGTAGAAAACTACGTATGGAAAGGATGCTAACACATTCCCTTTCCATAATCTACCCCCCTTACTCAGAAAACTCTCGAAAGGTCTTTTTCTTTTCTTTTCACCATTTCCTTTGTTGGATAAAAGAAAAGTCGGTGGTGACTCTTGCTTACCGCGACATTTGCGAATACAAACGTAAAACTAATATACTAGGGTTAGAAGTGCGATCTTAGGAAATAGGGTTTTAATTTTTATTAGGGGAACTCGCCATGATTTTAGTCGTATGCCCACGTATCCTCTTATGAGGAATCAGAGTCTCAATTCGTAGTTTGCAGTTTGGTTGGTGTTTTTTATAGGATTACATAGAATTGATTTCGAATTATCCTTGAACCTTGTATGGGTTGAAAATTGTGTGAGCGTAGACGTAGTTCGCAGTTAATTTGAAAATAATTCTCCTTAAGCCTTTTTCAAAAATATCTTGGGGTTTTTATTAAGTTAGTAAAAAATGGTTTGATTGTTGGTTAGTTATTTTGAATTTTGAATTGATAACGTGTATGGTAGGGCATAGAGCGAGGGAGTCTGATATAGTCTCCTCATCACCTGGCCATGCGTTGCTCGTCATGGAGGATGCAGATGGAATCTGATAAAGTTTTCCTGATCACGTGGCTAGATATTGGCCATGTGTCGTCCACTGGTGAATTACGTGGGTTTTTAATATCTTTGTAAAGTATTGAATTGACTTAATTTAAGAAAAAGGTTTGAATTAATTAGAAAATAGATTTAACTAAATAATCCAATAAAATATATTTTGTATTTTGAATAACTAATTGGTAAACGTTAAGTCTACCACTAATTACTCGAGGATGTGAAATTTGATTACTGGTAATATGTCGAAATTATTTTGTATTTTTATAATGAGATATATTTTTAAGAGAAATTAAATAAATAAATAAATAAAAGAAATAACTAAATTAAATATGGTGTTATATTAACAAGGGGTGTCGCTATTAGACCAATATATGGCCTAAGGCCCATTTCAATATTTGTTAAAGTTAATCCTAAAAACTAGAAATAAACTAATAATAATAGCAATAATATAAGTAACAATAAAACAAAGAGAAAAATTACTGATCCCAAATTATTTATTCCTCCCTCACGGTATTCCTTCTTCTACCTTCATAATCCCTCTTTTCAATTTCTTTCCAAATAAAACAACACCCATAAATCTCATACCCAAACTCATTTAATCAAACATATCTTAATCAAACCACATGAATAAAAAGCATAATGGAAAACAAACTGGAGGATGCTAATGGAGAATGAGTTTGCGAATCTGAGCGGAAACATGATGATTCCACAGAGGCGGCTAAAAATGTCTCTGGATTTGAAGGGGAGACAGTCGGATCGTGGAAATTTTGATGGTGGATCTCCGGAGACGTTGTTGTTGTATGCAAAATGGAGGGCTCTCGTCGATGTTTGCACCGACTAAGTTACGTGTACAGTTCTCACCGCCGGACTCCAGATTCGTCGGATCTTGTGGTAGCATCGACGAATGCCGATTGAAGATGGGTTGATGCATCGATGGAGGGCTCTGTCCAGCTTGTGATGTTTCATTATAATGTTGTTTTCCAGGTTGTTGATTAAGACTGGCAGGTTTGCGGCTAGCTACTTCTTCTTCCTGTTTCTTTGATTTGTGATATCGTTTGTTTTTTTTTGTTGTTGTTGGTAGTGATTGGATAAAGTAGAAACCAAACTCATTAGAGATAAAATTCATAAACTATGCAATTTGTTAATTGGCAGTAGATACAATATATCAAATATTAGAGTAATAATGATATATGAATTGAGGCAGTGATGATGTTGTATATAAGTTTTGCAACACAAATTGATTTCAAGAACTAATTGGTTAGTTTTTTCTAAGAACTAAATTAGGGATATCATGTATATTTACCAAGATAATACTAATAACAAACATCATGAGCTGTAATCACATATAAGTTAAGAAAATGTTAACGTAAACAAAAAAAGTAGCGATAATTCATATATTTACATGAATCTATTATGATGTTTATAAGTAAGGTGAGCCAAAACCAAAAGCATAAGTTCTCCATAACTGTGTACAAATTTGGATGGTGTGTATTGAATGTGTGTGGTCTGTGTGCAATTGTGAATTGAGAGAATAACTAGTTTTGTCAAGAAATAATTTTTGAAAAACAACTAGACCATCATATCATCATCATATGGTTAAAATAACAAACCAATTAAAAAATAGAATTGAAAATTAAAGAGAGACCTCATATGAAATCATTGGCCAAAACAAAAATATCCCAATAGTATTAAAAAGAAAATTTTGAAAGAAGAAGAAATTTGCAAAAAAAAAAAAAGAAGTGTGTGTAAATGAGTGAAATTGTGAGAGATTGTAAAAATGTTGATTTTGTGGATGTGTGAGAAAACTAAGGTCCTATTTATAGACTTGAATTAAGTTAAACAAACTTAGGGAGTAAGTTCCAAAAGCCCAATGAGAAGCCTAAAGTTTGATCTCCCCAAAAGGAAATAAAATTAACAACAAAATATAAATAAAAAAATGTTAAAAATGTAACACACAAGATTCGAACCTACGACCTCATATTTGTAAACTTCATTCTTTAGCAATTGTGCTGTGTTACTCATTTGTAGATAAACTCAATTGAAAGTATATGAAAGGTGTGCAAATATTTGTTATTTTAAAAACAAAAATAATTTGAAATAAATTATTATATTTTTAACTGGACTTGAGAATGAATATCTATAAAAATCAAATAATATTATAAAAATAAAATTTAAAATATTTTTGACTGTAGGAATAAATGGCAGACAAATTTGGGGTATGGCACACTGCTCAATCCTGGTGCCAATGATGGATGTGACTTGAGAACCTGTTGAATGGAACACTTTTAGGAGTGTGGGCATAGAAACTGAACCTTTTTGGTTACTCTGGTATGGGAAGTACTCGGATAGACGAGGTTCTAGACTTTGACTCGATTGGTGTACACAAAGTGATGGGTAGTTACTAGTAAAAGATTGATGGAATGCGCGAAAATTGTGATCTCCAGTCGGGTAAATCTCGGATCCTTGATTGGAGAAAGGGACTATTATATCTTCGTTCTTGCCATTATGTGCTTAAGTTCTATAATTATGCTAGTTGGAAGCTGAAGTGAGTAAAAGTGTGAACTACTGTAGCCTAAGTTACTTGCTAGTTATAGTTCATCTAACCATGGGTGAGGCCATATAACTATGTTTGACATTGTGTGATTAGGTGAATGGAAGCTAGTGTTTAACCTTAGCATCAAAGAACGACCACAGTTGTATCGGTTGTTTGGAACCATGGTATTCCAATCTGGAAGAATTATCATTGGGATCTCTTTTGCGTGCATGATGTGAGTGAGTACACGCATAACATAACAGTTCGAGTTGAATTCTTACCCAATCATGTCTGGATTGTTGGTTTTTGAGTAAGTAAACCCTGAACGTTTGGCACTCTTAGGTTTTTGCATCCTAAATAGCGGGACTGGAAGGTTCTGAGGAGCAATGGCCTCAGTGGGGACTTGTATAATTATTTTTTTTTCGTGACTATAGGACACGGGTGAAGATCGTTATACTCTACTCGGTAGGTTACTCGAGTACATAACCTCAGAGTTGGACTATCATGTTATTACTAACAGATAGGTATAACGCCACAATATCATTATCACGCACGAGATGCATGAGTCATCCCTTCTGATAAATGTGGTACATTGTTGACCTGGAACTCAAGGTAGGATTCTGATTTGGTACTCGTGAGACCTGAACCCGAATTCTCATAAGATAAATATGATAAGGATCCATATGTTATGCTCAATAATTGAGAACTATCCAAGTAGACGATAGCAAGAAGAATTAAGTTTTGTTACTACACTTATGAGGACCCTGAGTGGTCATGGGCGCGTAAGTGATATCAGAATATGACTTGAAGATGTATCCTGTTCCATTAGAGTGTTCATAAAGTAGTTGTGCGTTAATGCCTGAGGTGGAATTGATGTGTGATCTTTATACCATGACTAACACATTGTGTGGTTATTCTTTGACACTTGGTGATCAGTGTTGGAGTAGGTAGAGTATATCTTGGGCTAGCTCAATGTGAGATGTATCTAGATGAGTATCCATAGACTCTCAGAAGTGGAGCAATGCCAGTCTCGGTAAAGCCAAGACACGCTCGATTTTGGAATGCCTGGGAACTTTAAAAGGGAAATGTTCAAGGTGTGAAGCATGATTCCTTGCATTGTAGCTACACTCTAGATGTTAGAAGCACTACACCAAGAGGTGCAATTGAGGAAGCCAGTTCAGTGGTAGATCCAGGAACAAGAAAGTATTAGACGTCGATATGGATGAAGCGTGATTGTGGAAGAATGGTCGTATCAGTTAAGTTGCATGAGTTAATAGAGGTATTGTCACACTAAAATCATGAGGTCGTGTGGTTGAGAAGAGACCATAGAAAAGGTTGGAAGTATTATCGTAGCAGGTGTACGGTGTAAGATGCATTCCATTTCAGGAGTTATTTACCCTCGAAGAGTAGTTGTTGACTAATGTGTTTAAGATTCTATTGCATACCTGTTGGTGTGGTAAATCGGCAAGCAAAAAGTAAAGTATTATTTTACCGGGTGATATAGGTTATATTGTATCGCGTCCACAGAGATTGGTGAATTGAAATGTCGTTCGATAAATCTCTTGTTAATGAGTTTGGGGGATAAATGGGTTGAAAGGAAAAATATCAACAGAAGAAAATGTATAAAAAGGAAAAAGAAATAACTTATCAAGCATGCATGTATACTACTTCTCACAAACTTAAACCTATCGACTTATTATACTAAACCTATAATATTCATCAATATCATCACATATCAAACACAACATCCACTGTATCACCTCGGCAATGATCTCTCAACCAACCTTAACAAAGAAATCAATCGCGCTCGCTTGTATCGAGGATCTCTCAGAGCGACACAAACAACACAAAGGCATTAATCACAAACACCCTAAGTGAATAAAAATGCTAAATCTACCTCTATAATCCATACATTATTAGATAATCATCCTAGATAAGAATTCAAGAAGTATATGTCTATAGCAACTCAAATCCCTAACACAGAGCAAAAATTAAGGATAACAATCGACAAAGATTTGTAAAGTAAGTTTTATATAACGCCAAGGGAGACAAATATACATAAGATCAAAGTAAATACATGTACAAACCCAACCAATAGATAATACACAGAAAATGAGAAATGAATCGCAAATATATTGGTTTGTCAGAGCCGATTGAAGAGCAATACACCTCGGATCCGTATGCAAGCTTCATAGTTGCTATATAAGCTAATACTAACAAAATTGGAGGTTGATGGAGTTGAGAGAAATTTTTTACTCAAAACCATAACAAAAAATGAACTGAAAATGAAGTTATAAAACAAATCTCAATAGACCACACTTAGCGGGCTCACCGTGCTAAGCAGGCTGCGTGATATTTACACATTAAACCGACCTAAACTGCGTTAAGTGCGTTATCCGTGCTAAGTGGGCTCCAAAGCTATGCTTCTGCCAAAATTTCAAAACACAAGCAGCACACTCGCGCTTAGCTTCCTTCTGCACGCTAATCGGGCTCTCCTGGGCAAAACTTCTCAAAACTGGTCTTTTATTCCGAAAACGCGCATCTGGAGTCGTGCCTTCAACACCTTATTCCTCGATGCTCCAAAATGCAACAAATACCTACAAAATGAATGGAAAAACACCAAACGGTACACTATGTACACAAAAACACAAATAAACACACACTAAACATATTTACATAAAAGTAGGGTTTATTCAACCGATATTAACAATAAAAAGTCGATAAGTGCAACCAAAAGTATATACAAAAATAGTTAAAATTTATACTTATCAATACCATGTTGGATGAATGCATAAAAGGAACAATGGTTGTAAGGAGAATGAGTATGGTAAGTAATATAACTATATGGATTATCGACATAGTGTAAGCCTGGAAATTTCAAGAAGTGCGTAACTGGTTAAAATCAAAGTAGCGTAATAGACAAGGAATATCAAATAAGCTTGTAGTGTGTTTGATGGAGTACTTGTAAGATTTTGTTTTGAATGGATGTATCTTTCTAATGGAAACTCATCAAAGCAATGTTTTGTTCACCTTAGTCTCTCAAGAATCCATCATAATCTAGAGAGGTGCTGTTGATGGACCAGTATAGAAGGGACATTATGGTTGATATGTAACCAGATGTTCATAGGCCAACTGTTGAGCTCGCAAATAGAGATTTGGTCAGAGCATCATGACCGTTGGAAATGCTGGAGCCAATTAAAGGATTTTACTTGACGTAGACTCATTGTGATCACGTCTTGCACACTTGTGAGCGTGTATGGAGATTTATGTGATAGTTGCAGAATAATAGGAGAATTTACTCTTCATTGGTGAGACGTTATGCACAATTGTTAAGTATCAAGACTATTAGTTTCAGACCTTGTACACCATTGTGGCTTGCGAAGATCGTTGTTTGGTCTAAGACTGAAGTAAGAAGCTTTGTGGGGCGGAGAAGATAAATTTGGAAACAATCATCCTAAGCATCCTGGAATTTGAAGTCACGAACAAGAGCTTGATAAACACTTGTACGACTCTATATGGACTCGTGGGGATGTAAATCCAAAGTGTCGTCATTAGAGAGGAAAGTTGCAGTAGGAATTTCGTTGATTGGGGGAATTTCCTTAAGCGCGTTAGGCCTCACATAGTGAAGTGCCATTCGCTACTAGTTTGTGTAGCAAACCTCCCAGTCAATAACTTGGGAAAGTTTCTGTTTGGGTTCGCTGGGACTTCACTCAGCGAAGTACCCTCGGTACCAACTCACTTAGCGAACTTCCCTAAGCAGAAATTACATGTTGATTTCCCCCAGTGCAATTTCTTTCTGTATCAAGAATCGGACGCCTTCGTTGTCTGCATGACTTATGAGGTGTTTTATGGATTATGAAATGTCGTATCGTGATCACTTTTATGCTACTTTTATATGTATGTTTAATGAAATGCATCATGTGATAAATGATATGATGTGATCACTTGCTTGATTGTTTTCTTTTGTTCCAGTTAAAAATTCGAATATGGATGTGACATATGCTTGAATTAAAGTAGGCCTAAGCTACTAGGTGGTAAATCACATATGACCATGGACTGGGTCCAACCTATTTTATCTTTGTGATGTGCTTGTGAGGGTCTTAAAGGGTGTTTCCCACTTGATGATAACATATTCGTGTTCTCGGTACATCATATACACCTAAGCTACCATTGTGATGTGCTTATGAGAGTCTTAAATGGCGTTCCCACTTGACGAGAGCACATCAGCATGCTTTATATGGTGGCGTTGTCATGTCATGTAGGCAATATCACTTTGATTACTTACCTCTAGTGGTGCCACGTAGGCAATATCACTATGCTTTCACCCGATGGGCTTGTGTAGTCTTGATGGCGTGTTTGCACTTGCGGTACACACTTGTGTATTGATGATTAACAGGGTCGTGACGCCACATAGACAATGTCACTTAAGTTTACTCGTCACATATGGGATTGTGTAGCCAAGTAGGTGTTAATCACTTTCGACTCATCTGATTCATCGTGTGATGTGCTTGTGCAAGTCTCTTGACGCTAGGCACTTGGATTACTCATCGAGGGTGTGATGGTGTGACCTAGTTAGTAGGCAAGATACTACTTTTGGATTCCTCGTACACGGATACGGGTCTGCATACTTGGTATTTGTTTTGTTCTGTTTTGTGTGTTGGTGATCTCATCTTGGATAGTCAGGGGACTTTCATTGTGATGTTTGCGTTGTTGTGTTTCTTGTACCTAAACGTGAGGAAACCCCATATCAATGGTTGATCCTGTTAAAACAAGATTTGGTTCTACAATAATATCTTTGAGTTTTAATGATAACAAATTAGTATATTTGTATGAACAATTTTGATACTCTAATGTTTGTTATTTTTGAGTATTTAACAAACAGGTTATGCTTCTGATGAATGACATGGCCAAAACATTAGAAGAGAATAAGTTCCGCTTCTGCGCTACACAAATTCTGATGAACAATAGTAATACACTCCAGAAGGCTATGAAGTGTAGGCTCTTATATAAAGAAAACATGTTCTAAAGAAACCAGTCAAAAGATCTGAAGAGAGAAGTTCTACTGAAGTCCATATGCTAAAACCTTAGGTTTCTGAAGATAACATGTTCTAAAGAAACCAGTCAGAAGATCTGAAGACAAAAGTTTCTACTGAAGTCCATATGCTGAAGACTCATGTTTCTGAAGACAAAGGGTTCTCAAGACCAAGTGCTGAAGATTCTGGAGACGTAGTTCTGAAGACTCTAAAGACTTGAAGTTCTGAAGATCCAAGGTTCTAGAAAAGGTTCTAAAAGACCAAGTGCTAAAGACTCTGAAGATATAAGTTTTGAAGACTCTGAAGACTTGAAGTTCTAATGACCCAAGGTTCTCAAGACCACGTGCTGATGTTTCAAAGACAAGGTTCTAAGTGAACAAGTTCTGACGACTGAAGACTTGTTTATCTGGAGATTTAAATGTCATAATTCTACTCATGCTTCAATCATCTACCATCAGAAGCCTCTGGAGTTCAAAAGACAAATGTTACTGAACAATGACAAGTATACAGTATAAAAAAGCCTTATCCCACTACCTCTCTATTAGCTTGAATTGTGGAAAAGAAAAAGACGTGACAGTGCTATTTTCATCATTATATAACGAATTTTTTTCGATATCCAACAACTCTATTTTGCTTAGCTATATAAGAAAAGGATCATATGCTTAAATTGTTATTGGTGTTTAAATGTTCAAATGGAAGTTGTCATTGTTGGAACACAACCAAAAATTATCAACCAATATAACAACAACGAGAACAAAAAATAGTTCTTGAATTATATTGTTGATAATTACAAGATAATAATGAAGTCATTGATTCACAATGTACTTAATTTCATATACTGCAAGAAGCTTAGTAAGATGCAGAAGATAATTAAGATGATCACAAAAGCTCAAATCACAAATCTACAACATGAATGTTGTGCTTTAAAGTGATTATTGAATTAAATAGAATAAGGGTTGCTGTCCAGAATGTTTTGAGATGAATCAAGATGAAGAAATTATTCTCTTTACTACATCAAGATCAACAAAGCTTTCAGAAGTGTATGAAGAAGAAGACTTCAGCAAGTCATTTGCTTTTGGGTTGTTGTCCATGAAGAAGCTACTTGAAGAAAAGAAGACCACACATTTGAAATAAAATACAATGTAATATTATTAGTGTGTATTAGGATCTTCTATTGTACTTAATTTAGTTTACACTTGCTTGTGTAGAATCATTCTCTTGTAAACAAACCTTGTAAAAACAAATTGTTGTTTGTTCCTTCTAAAGAACCAGTTAGGTCAGAAGCTTTAGAAGGTTTTTGTGTTTCTTCTAAAGGACTAGTTAGGTCAGAAGCTTTAGAAGGTAATGTGTTTCTCAAAGGACCAGTTAGGTCAGAAGCTTTTAGAAGACTTAAATGGTAGTCTTAGTGGTAGTTAGTCACTTGCAGTTAGCTTGTGCATTGTAATAATCTGTTTGAATATTGGATTAGGTCCTTGAGTTCAAGGCCAAATCACCTTGGTAGGGTGGACTGGACTAACTTGAGGATTTCTCAAGTGAACCAAGATATATCACATGTTCTTTACTCTTGCTTATGCTTTACTGTTTATGCTTCCACAACATATTCGAAAGCATCACATAACGCAACAATGTTAAGAAACGAAAGTTTTCTATGAATGGAAAACCCAATTCAAACCCTCAATTTCTTGTGTTTTCTTCATGCCTTCATTTTCGTTTTGATGCATGTACCCTGTAGATCTGAGAGAACCCATAAGATAGGGGAACCCACTGAAATTTAGTAATCTCACCCCAGTCGTATTATTATTTTTCAGGCACATGTTAAAATTGAAGAATTGCTAAGTGGTCAACAATGAAGACATGGATGAGCAGATGGCAAGAAGACCTTATCTGATCTTATCTTTATGTTGTGCATTGTTATAGACAAGCATATTGTATATAGTTGTAGCTGAATAATTAACTTGCATACAGTTTTAAATTTTTGTCATTTTCAACTTTTATATGTTTTCATGTATCATATAGACATATATGCATGTGGTGTTACAAGAGCTAACTAATCTCACATTTATTGATGATGTCCTCCTCTTTTCTAGAGGGGACTACAAATCTATGGAGATCATGATGATAACTTTCCAGAAGTTTAATAATTCAACAGGCATGAAGATAAATCCTAACAAATGTAAAATCTACTTTGGTAGTGTTAACGAAGGTACAAAGGATCAAATCCTAAAGTTGACCAACTTTCAGGATGAGAACTTGTCATTCAGGTATCTAAGAGTACCTTTAACCTGTAGGAAATTGTCAACAAATCATTATATGGTGTTAGTTGATAAAATTGTTGGGAAGATAAAACACTTAAGCACTAGCTTATTGAGCTATGCTGGGAGATTGCAGCTGATTAGAAGCATTTCTTTTACTATGGCCAACTATTGGATGATGCGTTTTCCTATGACCAAGTTTGTCATAAAGAAGATAAAGGCTATTTCCAGATCATTTATATGGACTGGCAAAGAGAATATCAGTAGGAAAAGTCTTGTTGCTTGGCAAAACGTGTGCAGTCCAAAGAAGCATGGTGATATGGGATTTATTGATCTTGCAATTTGGAAAAAAACAACACTGTTAAAGATGTTGTGGAACATCAGTAGCAAGGCAGCCAACCTCTGGGTAAAGTGGATTCACACTTATTATCTTAAGCAGACAAACATCATGGATATTATAGTGAAGACAAATAACACCTGGATCATAAAACAAGTTTTGCAACAGAGAGACACTATTGGTAGTATCAAGGTATTATAGGATCAAATGAGTAACCAAGGAAAGATCCAAATGATGCAAGTGTATAGTAGCTTGAGAAGTGAGAACTAAAAAGTAGTTTGGAGGAACCTGATGTTCACTAATGCTGCTAGACCAAGGGCACTCATGACCATATGGTTGGCATGCCATAGAAAGCTAGCTACCAAGGATCGATTGAAGAAGTTTGGCATGATCGCCAATAACAATTGCATCCTGTGTGAAAATAAAGAATCTATAGACCATCTTTTGTTCGACTGCCATGGAACTAAACCTATATGGGCATATGTTCTGCAATGGATTCAGGTGAAACATGAGCCTAAAAATTGGAAGGAGGAAATCAAGTAGATTATGAATAACAACAAAGGAAAAGGGTGGCGGGCCTCTTTGATCAAACTTGCCATCGCTGAGACAATGTATGAGGTTTGGATTTTCAGGAACAACATTTACTTTGGAAACAAAGAAGATAAAAACAACATAACAAAAAACATTATTGACATGATAGTTTATAGGACTTGATATAACAAGAAGCTTAGACCATACATAGTCAATTTAATGTTGAATTAAGTTTTCTCTTTGTCTCTTGGTGGACTGGATCCGAACGATCATATTGTATTTAGCTATTTTTTAAATTAATCAAAATCTTTAAATTGTTAAAAAAAATAAGAGTCATGCTAACGAGTGCTCTGAAGACACTCTTTAAGAATACCAAAAAAAAAAAAAACATTCTTTATAAAAACCAATGATTCGTATTTTAAACACTTAAGAGTGTCCTAGCATTTCCCAAAAAATAATTATACTCATTGAAATTGTATAACCTATATCAAGTACTCGCATTCGTATCATTTGTTAACCACGCAAATATTGTTACTGTTTTAATTATTGCCCTAACCACGCAAATATTGTTACTGTTTTAATTATTGCCTTAAACTTCTTCTAATGCACTACAAACCCATAAACCCTGCCTTTCTCGACCCAACCACTGGGACTGAGTCAGTGAAGCGACTCAACTAAAAAAAATAATTAATATCGTATGACCTCCAAGATCTATTCATCCACTCTGGGCTGATCGTAACCACCGCCCAACCTCAGTTCCAAAATGTCGATCGGCGACGCTTTTCTCCTCTTACTCTTCGTTGCTACTTACTCCATTTCAGCCGCTTCCGCTGATTCCATCTATGGCTGCGGCGGATTCGTCCAGGTAAATTCATTACCGCCGATTTCGGCTTTTCGACCGATGTTACTTTTTTCGCGACGGCGAGATTGATTTTTAGGGATTCGGATTGAAAAATTTAATGGCGGATCTATGTTTTGGAGTTTTCTAGTTTTTTGAACTTACGTCTATTTCAGCTTAATTCGGTTGCTTATTTTATTGTTACCGATTCGTTACTACAGGCGAGCTCATCGTTGGTGAAATCGAGGAAACAAACTGATGCAAAATTGGATTATTCACATGTCACGGTAAGAGAGTGTTCTGTATTTGATTTTGAATTTGAACTCTATTTAATTTTGCACAGTAACTATAATAATGTTAAATTAATCTAATATGGAGTGTTAAGGTCTGTTTGGAGTGACTTATTTGAGCTTATAGGCTGGTTTAAGCAGTTGTGGTACTGTTTGGGAGAACTCGTGAAAATGTTTTACATTTTTGTAAACTATTTTAAGCTTATTTCTACAAGCTCTTCTGAACAAACGGAGTCTTAAGCTTATTTCTATAAGCTCATGACAATATTTGACATGTTCATAAACTATTTTAAGCTTATTTCTATAAGCTCTTTTGAATTTCAACTTATTTTATTTTGATGCAGTAACTATAATAATGTTAAATTAATCTGATATGGAGTCTTAAGGCCTGTTTGGAGTGACTTATTTGAGCTTATCTAGTGGCATGAGCAGTTGTGGTACTGTTTAGGAGAGCTCATGAAAATGTTTGATATGTTTGGAAACTATTTTAAACTTATTTCTATAAGCTCTTCTGAACAGCTTCAAAAATAGATTATACGAAATAGTTTGGCTTTATCTTTGTTATTGAAATAACTTAAACTGCAAATTTAACGGTGTACATACTAAAAATACTTAAGCCGACTCTCAACTCGGACACCCAAGACCGGGATTGTAGTAAGGAGGCTGAGGTGTACTAAGGGACAACGACATGAAGTCGGACCCTGCTAGAAGCATCCTTACTCGGGGATGTACAAGTCGGCGACGTACAATTCGGCAAAGTCTGTGGTATGCCAGGTCGGATAATCGGGGTGCTATACCGGCTCGAAGGTTACGGAAATATGAAAGGGCTTCAGGGACGTTACATGAGGTGTTACACTTCATAATGGCGACGGCGGGAGTTAAGGTCCTATCATTATGAGGGAACTCTAAGGGCCACCTCTTAATGATGTCAGGTCCATTAGGGGCTTAGGGGCTCCCACCTGAGGGATAAGTAAGACAATCTTCTTGAGTTGACACACACATTCATCGTGCAACTCGAATCCCTTAAGCTCTGCAATCTCTCCTGCCAAGCACACACGGGGTAAAACCCACACATACATCGAAGTCACAAATATAGTCGCAACCTCCCTGGATTAACTTCCGGGAGGTGATCCAAACGTGTTTTACATGAACAAACGGTTTATCCAAACAAGGCCTTAATATTTTTTGGTATCTTGCTGTTCCTACTGCGTGGAGGATGTGGTGCAAGTGTATTCCTGTTGTTTATTGATACTAGTCTCTATTCTCAGCTTGTGCTGAATAGCATTTAATTGATTTTTCTATTGTAGGTTGAGCTTCAAACAGTGGATGGACTGGTAAAGGATAGAACACAATGTGCTCCAAATGGATACTATTTTATTCCAGTATATGACAAGGTAAAGCTTGCATAGATAAGTGTATATATAAGCTTATTCTGGTCAATCAGGTGAAGACATGTTATTCAGTGCTTCTCAATGCAATTATTTTCAATGCAGGGTTCCTTTGTTATTAAAGTTAATGGACCTGATGGGTGGTCATGGGATCCTGAAAAGGTTTGTTATTCTCTGTCATTGATGAAATTTTATCGTGCGGACATTGTCGGGAAATCATTCAAAGTATTGTTATGAGTATGACACTTTCTTTGTCCACCCATATCCCTATAGGTTCCCGTGGCAGTTGATAATCAAGGTTGCAATGGGAATGAAGATATAAATTTTCGTTTCACAGGGTTGGTCATTAATTTGTTATATTATATTTTCTACTTTATGTCCTACTGCATGTTATGCTTTCACTTAGTCTGGATTTATAAAGTTACATAACTTTATATTTTGTAGGTTCTCTATATCTGGTAGAGTCGTGGGAGCTGGTGGAGAAAGCTGTTCGGTTAAAAATGGAGGTCCTTCAAATGTAAAAGTTGAACTATTGTCTCCTTCTGGAGATCTTGTTTCATCCGTCTTGACTTCACCATCAGGGAGCTACTTGTTTACAAACGTAATTCCAGGTAAGGAAGTTTGTGTTTACTTTTGGAAACTCTTTTTACTGTGTAAGGAAACTCTTTTACTTGCACCATTTTGGAAATTTTTTCCAAATATAACATACGCAGTTGTCCAAGATTCATGCATATAATATGAAATATTTGTGACAAAATGTACGATGAAACTGTTTAAGTAATACAAGTGTCTACAGATCGGCAAAACTGATTCCGCGTTTTAACATTTCAAATTATGATGTCACTGGAGGTTAAAAATATTAATTGGCTGAGAGGTAATTATGTATAAAATAAAGGATTAAGAGACAAGTTATGATGTCAATGGAGGTGAAAAATATTAATTGGCTGAGAACTAGTCGTGTGTAAAGGATTAAAGGACAGAAATGAAAGACACGTCTTATTAATTATTATTACTATATGTAGTTTAAGATTTTTTCAGATCCAATAAATTGGGATGAAAATTTAGTTAGGTAAAGGGCGACTGAAGAATTTTTTTCTCTGTTTGCAATAAATGATATCTATTTTTTTTATTACTAGAGCTGTGCCTCAAGGGTCAATAATGAGCCCATATTATTTTTTAATCTTGGTCCTCCTAAGAAGTAAAACAAGGTATATAAAACATAAGTTTACAAAGGACAAACAAGTTATTATGTAGAGGTGAAAATTGGAGAGCATACCATACTACAATGTCATGTTTTTAGTATCTCGGGTCTATCATACATGACACAAAGAATCCATGTAGGATGGACGAAATGGAGGAATGCTTTGGGTGCGATACGCAATTAGAGAATACCTCTCAAGCTTGAAGGAAAGTTTCTTACACTCCTGTAAAACCTACAATTTTGTATGGTAGTGAAGGTTGAGCTGGAAAAAGCCAATAAAAAATAAATTTAGTGTCATAGAAATGAAAATGTTACAGTGGATGAGTGGTTACCCAAAAATAATAATACCTAGAAATGCAATCATTAGGGAGAAAATTGGGGTAGCCCTAGCCCCAATGTTAGAGAAGAGTAGACTGTTGAAGCACTATAAATGAAGAATTGAAGAGTAGACTTAGGTAGTTTTGACATGTGTGGGGAGGACCTATAGAAACACTAGAAATGAGAGTAGACTAGATGAAGGATGATCCAGTTGTTAGAGGCGGAGGGAGATCAAGAGAAAGTATCAGTCACTATTAAATTAAAAGAGGTTTAGATGTAATAGGTCTATCATTGGGTTGGACCCAATACATGATAGGATTTTAAGATGTCGACTAATCCATGTAACCAGTGCCACCTAATGGGAAAAGGCTTGTTGTTGCCATCGACCTTGTTGCAATGAGTGATAGCCAATTGAGTTACATTGTCCATTACTTGGTAAATTCTTGTCTAGAATTTTGGCTTCTGTTGTGTAGTCACTATGATTTAGTTTTAATATTCTTTCATTGTTGCCATTATTTTATTATTTGTGCTGTTCTTCTTTCAAACTAATGAACAATACTGCCAATGTGCAGGAAAATATGAGCTACAAGCTTCAAATCCTGATATTAAAGTTGAAGTCAAAGGTTCCACGCAGGTCTGAACTATTTTATTTAGCTCTTCTTCCTGTGTTTTGCCGTGTGTTGATCAGTGTTATCAAATTGCCCCACCACGGCCGCTATGGCGGATATACATGACGGTTTTTGGGCTTGCCGCAATGGTAAATATAGTCCGCTATTCCGGGTTTTTCCGCCATAATCTGCAATAACGGCGCCGCGAAGTGGCCGATTTGGCGGGTTTTTGGCTCTCCGCCACGGACCGCCATCGACAACACTGGTGTTGATACCGTTGTCTTTCCTATATCACTATTTAGTTCCAAATTCATTTAATGAGCTTGCATTTTGCGCTTCCATTTTGTTGATATGTTCTTTTTGCAGGTGGAATTGGGCTTTGGAAATGGGGTGATTGATGATATTTTCTTTGTCCCTGGGTATAGTATCAGCGGGTCTGTTGTTGCACAGGTAATCTTTGTTGAAGGACTATAATATCAGATTATTTGTTAAATATTGTGTTCTAATTTAATGAAGAGACCCACTTGTATCTGTGACATGTAGAACAAAACACAGATTCTTGTTTGCCTTGATTGCTTTATTTAACATTCTCTTATGAGGGCGTCAAAGAATATTTTGGATTGCAATAGCTTAAACTACCAACTAGCGTGACATGGTTTATATTTAACTCGATAGACAATTTAATTTGAATCATTTCTCTTGTAGTTATGCCTTTCATTTTGTATTTTTTTCCTTTTATAGGGAAACCCAATATTAGGAGTCCATATCTTCTTATATTCAGAGGATGTATCTGAGATAAAATGTTTGCAAGGTTCTGCTCATGGTCCACGACAAGAAGCAGCTCTATGTCATGCTGTAACAGATGCGGACGGAAAGTTCTCATTCAATTCAGTACCTTGTGGTAATTTGATTTTTAGAAGATTTTTCTCTCTTCTCCCCCTCTTAAAGCATAAAATGTGCCGTACCAGATGTTGAGTTTCGGGAGCTTATGCATTGAAAAACAGAGAATAATCTGCTATAGGTTTTTTTTTGGTCATCTTGCTTGTTGCTGGCACATTGGAAGCAGCAATATGTATTTTTACACGTAAACTTGGAACTTTATTTTTCACATGCATACCGCAATTTCTCTCGATTATGACCATACTTCACTTGTGTTGTTTGTGTGTACGCTGACTTCACAGTTGATATTCATTTTCCCTTATTTCTCTTTTCTGTGAATTGTGTACTATTTTTCTGGCGTGCATGAAAATTGCTTATTTTGATTGCACGCTGCTGGAACCTTTATGCTTGAATTTTGAGCTCATCCTTTTTGTAAATTTACAGGAAGTTATGAACTAGTTCCCTACTACAAGGGTGAAAATACAGTATTTGATGTTTCACCATCTAGTGTCCCAGTTAATGTTAGGCATCAACATGTAACAATCCCACACAAATTTCAGGTACAATATATGCATAAACATGTGGTAGATACTAATTATCTTCATTGTTTTATTTTCCTTGGAATTCAGTAAAAATGAGTTGATTCTATCAATGTGGTGTAAATCAAAATTCCTAGTTGTGTATCACTATTGAAAGCAGTTCATGAGAGTCGTCATTAAATGAAATGTAGATGTTTAGTTGTATTGTCACATAATCTTAAAAGTTCGTTTTGGATAAATAGATAAAATAAAATTCTTTGCATCGCTTTTCTCATAACTACTTATTAGTGAACATATTTCACTTCCTGCACTGGCTGTTTGGTGCAGTACAATTATGCTTTATTTTAATTACATTCAATTGCTTTTGCAAAAAAGAAACCACATTAATTTGCTCAATGATAACTTCATTCTCCAATATAATTAGCAATTTGTTGGGTTATTGCTATAATAAGTAACTGTAAGGTTTGTTAAATGAGTGCTAATGCACAACAAAAGCACAACAAAAGTACAACAAAAGTAGATCATCATAGAAAAAGTATTTGAGTTATAAGTTACAACACAGTTCTTTGTTCTGTATATTGTTTGCCAGTCAATACATGACAGTACAGTGAGTTTGGGGGAGGAGAGAATCATAGTTCTTGAGTAGGAAATTAAAATGAGTATTGCTGTTGTTGTAACGCTGTTGTGCTTGGGGCGTGTTGTCCCATGGTCTTATAAGTAACTACATCTTTTATAGTTTAGTCCTGTACTCTACTCCTAGATTTTTCATGTGACATGTCCAATTTAACATTGCTGTCGTTTTAGTAGTGTTGTCCTTGGGACAAGTTATCCTGTGGTCTCATAACTAACAGCATTTTAGAGTTTAGTCTTGCACTTTATTTCTAGATTTGTTCTGCGAAATGACCAATTTAATATGAAATTTGGAATGATTTTTTGGCCTTGTCAGTTCCTGATTTAAGAAAAATTGTTCAATTTCAGTTGTGTATTGTGGTCACCATTTATTGAAAATTAGAAGTGCAGCTTTCCTCTAATTGAAAAGTGTAGATTTAAAAATGGTTTATCGTTGGACTTGATTTATAATTTATGACAAGACATGGTGTTGTTTAAAGCTTGCAGCTAACCCCACTTAGTGGGAGAAGTCTTTAGCTGTTGCTTTTCCTCTGAAAAAACACGTGAAAAAGAAAAGAGAAAAACCAAAATATATGAGTTGCAAATTAAGATTGGAATTTTAATTCATCTAGGTATCAATAAAGATTTAATATGTTGAAACATGTTCGATGTATTAATAGTTATTGTATTTTTACTGTAATCTGTCTATTAATGTTGAAACATACACGCTGTTTAATAGTTATCATATTCATAGCTATCAATTCTAACTGTTACAGGTAACTGGATTTTCTGTTGGAGGCCGTGTAGTTGACGGAAATGACATGGGAGTGGAGGGTGTTAAGGTCATAGTTGATGGTCATGAAAGGTCTATTACCGACAATCAAGGATATTACAAGCTTGACCAGGTATTAATGATGAAATATGCTTCATTTAGCACATTCATAGACAATGCATTCTTTTTGGAAATTAGTCCCAGAATCCTCAGTTAACTTTCAGTGTGTAGGGGTTTCATTTATTTTTGTCTCCCCACTTTCCTTGTTTCAGTAAATTAGTTACTTCTGTCGTTTGTGTTATAAAACTCTGACCAGATTGGTAAATTTGACTGATGAACCAGCCATTAATTAATTGGTCTTTGCATTTTACTAAATCAGACTTTCATCCTAACTAATATGAACCTGTCTAACTTGTCTGGTTACTGCGGTTTTGTAGTGAACCTGCTTGATCACTTGATTGTGAATGTTAACTTTGATCCTCAAGATATTAGATTCTAATTGAAGTTTGAATTTACTGTCAACACACTGTTTGAAACTATTGAATATAGTTCACTCCCAGAAGCTGTCTTATATATAACACTCGATGTTAAATTTGGGTCACATGCTGCGTTGTGGGGTAATATGACTCTAGATTTATTTTACTATAAATTTATATTAGTTAAATATTTTAATTTCATTAGAAATGGCAAAAAAATGTTGAATTCCTGTGTAGTGTTTTCATTTTCAGTTTAAACTTCGAAGGTTTAGACAAAATATTGTTATAAATTCGTTTTTTTCTGCAGTTCCTTACCTTGTTGAGTAAGTTTCTAATTTTATTAATTTATTATATGCATTAAGAATTAGTGTTTGAATATATTAAAATATCGTATTTTATCTTTGATATTATATTAAGGTATCATAGTTTATCTCCGAGGATCAATTTATAATTTTGGAATTTCATAGATTTTTTCATAGGATTAGTTTCAGCATTACTTAGTAATTATCATGTTTTATTATTTACCGTTTTCTTATTTATTTAGGATCAAGGAGTCTTGTATCCATATAAATGGGATTTAACGTTAGTCTTTTGTATCAAGTCAATATCAAGTTATATCGTTAATATTCAAAGTTCTCAATTTTAATCTGCTCCTTATATATAAATTTCATAACTTCGACAAGTAACAGTCTATACTTTATAAAGACTTCAATCCTTTTTAAATTATTAAATTAATTTAATCATATCATATACTAACAAAATGACCATCAGTTGTGTGTATAACAGTTCAAATTTCAAAAGTGAATCACTCAATTTGTGACCTAACGACCCAATACCTGACTTGGTTATTGTTTGGACCAAATTTTGTAACAGGACTATCTATTTAAGTAGTAAGATTATTTCTATAATGTTCCTGGATACAATTTAGGGCCTGGGCCTGTGTGAAAAATGTTTCACTCGTTTGTGTTGAATTTATCAGGTTACATCCACACACTATACCATAGAAGCCCGAAAGGAGCATTACAAATTCAAGAAGTTGGAGAATTATATGGTAGAATATGTCATATTATTATTATGTGTTAACTTCTGCTTTTTCTAAATTTTTTTTTGCTTTTTGTAAAAAAAAATTTTGCTTTGTTTTTTATGTTGATAAAAACATTTAGGTTTTATATTCCTCTTATAATTAAATTTCAAACTTTGCTCCTTGCTTAGGTATTGCCAAATATGGCTTCAATAGAAGACATTGTCGCCGTTTCATATGATATTTGTGGTTTGGTTAGGATGGTTAGTAGCAGTCAGAAAGCAACGGTATGCATGTCCTCTTCTTGTACTTATCTTAGTAATAGTTGCATATCAAAATCAAAGTTGACCTTTTGTTAATTGTGTTAGGTGGCTTTGACTCACGGACCTGATAATGTGAAACCACAAAAGAAACAAACTGATGGAAATGGAAATTTCTGCTTTGAGGTACTTAGCACAGGGCAATAAATCTTTTTTTTTTTGTTTCGTAGTGATTATTGGAGGATAATTAGCTCGAGCTTAAAGAGAAGAGGTGATGGATTAGGATGTTAAAAATACGCAGGCTGGGACTTTTGCTTTAATTGTAGTTGACATGTTTAGGGAATAGCAGCACATTGCTTACTACAATGTATTTTTCTATCTTGTGGTCACAAGCTTTAGCAGTAAGGTTATTAACATTAGAGCTATACTATAAATGATAATATTTTTATGCCTACTGAAAATAGATTTCTTTACGAATTCAAATTGGAAGCTCAGAAAGCTGTAACCGTGTCCACAAGCAAAAGCTCAATATTTATGGTTTGCAGCTGAGCCTAAGAAAATTTGAAATCTTATAATATAGAGGTTTATTTGAACAATTGGAGGTTAAAAAGCAATCTGCAGCGAATTGATTCACGTTAGATAGTGCTGATTTTATATCAAATATATTTTGGTTGAAATGCAAGAAAATTTTATTTTTCTTTCAACCTCTGCAGTTGAAATAAAAGTAACTTAATGTCTTGCTTTAGTGATGTTTCTAAATTATCTTCTGAGTTTGATTGTTCCTTATTAATATTGTATAACTTATTGATTTACTGTCTAGGTTATTCCTGGTGAATATCGCTTGTCTGCTATTGCTGCTTCTCCTGATAATGCTGCTGGACTCATGTTTGCTCCATCTTATATCGATGTTGCGATCAAAAGTCCATTATTGAATGTTGAATTTTCACAGGTAAATTTTACATCCACTGTAACTATAAATGATATATAACTCTTCTTGGTTCTTTTGTCTCTGTCCCTTTATCTGCTGTGCTACATGCATGCCAAACTGTGATGATAACTTATTTATGGTTGCTTGACTTGTTGATCACTTGACCAATACTATTACGTGACATGTGACATTATATAACTTAATCTGTATTTGGATGAAAAATTTCAGGATGGAATGTAGTTTAGAGCATTTAAAATGTTTATGAAATAATACTTTGTACATCTAACACAAATTTCAAAAACTAAGTCATTTCCATTGATAATAACTTGGTCATTAACATTGGGTTATTTTGTTTAACAATGAAGAATTAGCAATGACATCTCATAGAGTGGGATATTTCAAATTTCCAACCTCTTCTTTGGGGATTTCATTTGATTTCTCAAAGCATCTCTATCATTATCAATGTAGGAAATAATGAGACATGTAAAGTGCTTTTGAAATGATTGTAGAAGTTTGCTGGCATTATGGGTGGTGGTAGACCCATAATTAACTGAAGAAGGACCAAGTTGATCTCTTGACTCCAATATTATTGATGGGAGAAGTGTCATTAACTTTCAAATGTCCTGCCCTTTTTATGTGTTTGTGCTCACCAAGGATGGATTGAACAAGACAGCAGTAAAATGATTCAACAAAATTTGGCGCTTCTGTTTCGATGAAAAGAACTTCAAATGATTAAAAAATAATGGTCTCTGCAAGCTAGATCTTCTATGGTGTCAATGAGGCCAACTGTGGTGGTTGAATGTGAAGTTATTGGTGGTGGCAGATTTGTTAACCATAAGATAGTTGATGGATTTCCAAATTGAATTCCACCAATAATTATCCAAGCAGAGTTTAAAAAATGGGCATTGAACTGCTACAATATACTGTTGTATTTCAATTTCTTTAAAAATAAAAAGTTTCTAGAATACAACCTGAGATTCTTTTGATTTGAATACAATTACTAACCTTAATTTTATCTTGATGGAAATTTTATTTTATTTATTTGAATACAATTACTGACCTTATTTCTTTGACTATTTTTTTTACCCCATTCCCCATCCAGACAGGATACATGCCCTGTTTTTATATGTTGTGAGGTCAAATTTCCATCAGAATTGTTTATTCTGATTGTTCACTGCTTCATTGTAGGCTCTGGTCAATGTCCATGGTGCCGTAATCTGCAAGGAAGAATGCGATCCATCTGTATCTGTGACTCTTGTGAGGCAGGGTGCTAAACATAATGAAGCGAGAAAGACAATTAGCTTGACCTCCGAGAGTAGTGAATTTCTGTTTTCTGATGTTGTTCCTGGAAAATACAGGCTTGAGGTTTGCCTTCTTTTGCATATTCCCATTTTGTTTGTGGTTTGGCTGAGTGAAATTTCTTTAGTTTTATGTTTAATGCTTGAATACTTTGCTCTCAAGTATTTACTGCTTTTTGTTCAGTATTAGTCGTTTGCTTGGATGTCCTAATTCATTTTAATTTTTTAGGTGAAACATAGTTCCTCTGAATCAGTCACCAAGGAAGATAATTGGTGCTGGGAGAAGAGCTTCATAGATGTAAATATTGGAGCTGAGGACTTGGAAGGAATTGTTTTTGTTCAAAAAGGCTACTGGGTCAATGTGATCTCCACTCATGAAGTTAACGGTTACATAACTCAACCTGATGGGTCAACTGTGAATTTGAAGATTAAGGTATTTGTTCATTACTCTGTTTAAATATGTTATGAAATTGCAACTTCATAACATTTATTTTTTGTTTGTCTTACCTGCAGAAAGGTTCCCAGCATATATGTGTTGAATTTCCCGGAATACATGAGTTTAGTTTTATTGACTCATGCATCTTCTTTGGGAGCTCACCTGTGAAAATTGACACATCGAGTCTATTGGTATGAAGGATTAAAGATATTGTGATTATGTTTTCAGTTAGTTCATTAATATTTGCTTCTTTCTTGGATTCTCTTCATGTTTTATTTTCAATATATTTTTGTAGCCCATTCATCTAAAAGGAGAAAAGCATCTTATTAAAGGACAAATAAATGTGCATTCCGGCTTACATGATGCACTGCCTGAGAAAATAGTGGTTGATATTTATCATGATGGAGCCGACGTTGCTGATAATGCCATGGCCATACTCAAGTCCCATGGGAAAGATCAAATATCTGTCTTTGAGTATTCTCTTTGGGCCAATCCAGGAGAAAAGCTTACCTTTGTTCCTCGGGACTCGAGGTACTATTTTCTTGATCAAATAGTTGCAGTAGAATTTGTGTTTTGGTTACAATTACAAGGCTTCTGTGAAGAGAGATAGATTCAAGAGAGGAAAATTCACGTATGAGTAGTGACTATCCCATTACATGATTGCCAATTTATCCCTGGAAGTTGACTCTGTACAGCCTGTAATAATTAAGTACAGTATGTATAATGCATTTAAGTGATCTTATGCCAACTGTTTCAACTGCCTTACCTATACCATTTTGAATTTATATTTACAAGGCCTTTGTGGAGAGCTTGGATTAAGAATGTATAGAGCCGGTAATAATTAACTACAGCATGTATAGAGCATTTATACCATCTCATGTTAATTGTTCTAATTCTATGTATAGGGCATTTATACCATCTCATTCTAACTGTCCTAATTCCATACCAACTATTTTAAGTGCCTCATTTGTACCATTTTGAATTTTAGTTACATAGTCCGAATCCAATTTCTGTTTGCAATTTTCCGTCAAGGCTGAATGTTTAAATAACATTTTTTTTGTCCCTATGTTGCTTATAGTTATGAAATATAAGTGTATTGTTTATATACTGCACAGAGTTTATGATTCTGGGAGGTTTCTGTATGGAACTATTTTCTAGTAATTAAACCTCATCTCTTTTTTCCCATCATTTTCCCTTCTCTGTAGCGTTGAAATGAAATTAATTCAAGCACTGCATTCTACCCAGTTTTATACTGTTTACTTTTTTATATTACAGGAATGATGGAGATAAAAAGCTTTTATTTTATCCTAGAGAACTGCATGTAAGTATCAAAGGACTAGTTTGTCTAGTAATGTTTTTCATGGACAATCACTGAAGATTCATTTGCTAAATCCATTTCCTTAGGTATCAGTGACAGATGATAATTGTCAAGCATATATTCCTACATTTTCTTGTCGACCGGGTGTATATATTGAAGGGACAGTCTCGCCTCCTATTTCTGGTGTTCATATAAGGATTTTCGCTGCTGGAGACAGCAATGTCACTGGACTTAAAAGTGGGGAACTAATACTTGAAACGACTACTAGTACTGAAGGCTCCTTTGTGGCAGGTCCACTGTATGATGATGTCGGTTATACTGTTCAGGCTTCAAAGGTAGTCTCTTTTTCAGGAAAAACTATTTGCAATTTCTCAACTTTATTTATGCTTTGACACCTCTAATTCTCCTCAAAATTTATGGTCAATTGTTTCCAGTTGCATTATCTAAAACAATTTAGCATGACAGACTTCTTTTAGTGGCAGTTATGGGAAGTTATTATGGCAGTTATATTATTTAATTTTAGGAATAGATAGAGAAAGGATAAGAGAAACTGGATATCGGATGGTTATTGAGTGGTTTTGGGTGGGAGAGTCCAAACTCTCGAATTCTTGGAGGGAGACACCAAGACTCTCGAATTTCTTTGATAGGAATTGCTTTATATCTATTCTATCATCATCGTCTCTAAACTTTTTCAGATGTACTAGTGTGTTAATTCTGTATTATCAAGTAAAACTGATGTTGGAGACAAATTCTACAGAGGATTGCTCTATCATTTCTGTTTTCTATTCTTTAATTATTTCACCATAGCTACCGGTTTCAATCAGAGTGCTGCGTGCACAGGCTGAGAACCAAAGCATGCTAGTTTTTTCATTATATATGTCGAAAGTACCACATCAACTAGAAATATTGACTAGGTAGCATGTTTAGGGTTGAGTTAGACCCTACTCCTAAATTTTAAGATTGTATAATTGCCTTTATTAGATATGTTATTGGGTCAAGATTGTATAATTGTTATTGGGTCAAGATTGTATAATATAATTGCCTTTCTTAGATATGTCAAATTCCAGATGTGGTAGTGTCCTTTGATTGTTGGGAATCTTACATTGACTAAAAGTATGGTCTGGGTAGTGTAGTGTGTACAAGGCTTGAGCATTCATCACCTTTCAAGTCAATTTTGTGTACTTGACTTGGGCCGTAAATTCAATTTCCAAGAACATATATTTTCTGTTGCTCAATTTTCTGTTATACCCTCCCGAATGCTACAGTGTTTTGAGCCTCCTACAGGGTGTTGTCTTCATTTCCTAAAACTACTGTTCTCTACCTCCTACACTAGGGTTTAGGGTTAAGTGTTAAATGCAAATCGCCATTTTTACTTTTGTTTTCTAATTCTTTATTCATATTTGCAGCCTGGCTATCATTTAAAACAAGTTGGGCCTCATTCCTTTAGTTGTCAGAAGCTTGGTCAGATTTCAGTACATATACATCACAAAGACAATGATAAAGAGCTCATTCCTTCAGTTCTGTTATCTTTAAGTGGTGATAATGGTTATAGAAACAACTCAGTATCTGGGGCTGGAGGAGCTTTCCTATTTGATAGTTTGTTTCCTGGAATGTTCTATTTGCGTCCTGTTTTGAAGGTACGACACTGGACATAAACTGTGGTGATGTTGCATTCTACTGTTTGTGTTTTTCCTTGATTTGTATGAGTTGTCTATCAACCGGCTCTGGTTATTTTGCATTTCACAATATACTTGAAACATTTTATGCTTTAGTTTACAAATTCATCTCTACCCCAACAAAGGGAGTCAGAGGTTACTTGCTTATAATGTGTAATTGTTTTGCCTGCTTATCCAGAATCTTGTTTCTTTTCGGCTGAGGTAGGCTATTGTTATGCATCAATGCTGTGTTGGTTATTGTTTGTTTGACTTGTTTATCATATATGGTCTTCATTCCTAGGAATATGCTTTCTCACCTCCGGCACAGGCAATAGAGCTTGAATCAGGGGAGTTTAGAGAAGTTGTTTTCCAGGCCACACGAGTAGCTTACAGGTATCACTTTGTTATTCCCCCAAATTGTCTTTCCTATCATTTAAATTAGAGCAATCTTTGTCGTTAAGGTTCCAGCGTACTGTGTTTCATCTATTTTTAGCTCTCTAGCAGTTTTTTCAAGTATATATGGTGTATTATCTTGGCCGATTTAGAGTCGTTGAAACCAACAATATAACATTATCTAAAAGTGTTATAGTATATTATCTTGGCTGAATTTAGAATCATTGAAACCAACTATATAACATCATCTGAAGTTGCCAAATTTGTTTTTCCTTGTATCAAAAAAGATATTTATGAACTTAAGTTCAAACGCTATCATGATTGTATCTTTTTTTGCTGTGTGTCTGGTCTCATTTGCTCTTTCTATATCAATGAGTTTTGCACAATTACTACTTTCCCAGTTATTTTAACCAAGACTAATTGAGACCTTGCGGATCACTGATGTAAACAAGAGGGTTCTGTAACCCTTGGGTAAAGGCTTTATATCTATTATATGTGTGTTTGGATTGGGGAGTTTGAGTAGAGTACAACTCAACAAATATCATCTAGTGGCAGACAAATATATTCAGTTGCGAGTGTCTCTCATTTGCAAGCCAGGCTCCACTTCATCTAATCAAATGATCCATATAATTACGTGAAAGTTGAAATTGGTCTATTTCATGTAGATTCAATTTGGTTTTGTGTTGACATTCCTGAATTGCGAAGTAAATTCTATTTTAATTTGTAGTTTACCTAACGGTTGACTGAATTACTTCTATTGAAGTATGCAATATGCATGGATACAGTGGAGTGCAATCTTTACTATTTTGCAGTGTTTCCTCTGACATGAAGATGCATCCTATAACTATTGCCAGGCTATGTAAATAAGACTGCAAATTTTCCTTATTTAAGAGCCTATGAAACAATGCTGATGAAACAGTGACAGGATATAAAACTCATACCCAGTGGAATCACTTACAATCTTTTACCTAATCACCTAGCGACTGACATGTTTGCATTATATTTTTTACCATGAAATTATGCCCGTACTTTCTAACTTCATTCTTGAAAATGCTGAAGTAAATTTACCCTTGCAGTGCTATTGGCGCAGTCTCTCTGTTATCTGGCCAACCCAAAGGAGGAGTTTCAGTTGAAGCCCGATCAGTGTCAAAAGGCTATTTTGAGGAAACTGTAACAGATTCCTCTGGGAATTATCGTCTTAGAGGACTACTGCCTGATACTGTCTATGAAGTGAAAGTAGCTAAAAGGGATGTTACGGGAAGTTCTAATATAGAGCGTGCATCTCCAGATTCTATTTCTGTCAAGGTTAGTACTAAGTTCCCATTTACTATCTCGTTCACCTTTCCTGTCAGTATGCTGATCCTGGTATAAACTTGTTGGTTGGTGTTCCCAGGTTGGAACTGAGGATATCAAGGGTTTGGATTTTATAGTTTTTGAGGAGCCAGAAATGACAATTGTAAGTTGCCATGTTGAAGGAAATGGTACGGATGAACTTCGTAAACACCTGATGGTAGAAATCAGGTCTGCTAGTGAGACAAGCAAGATAGAGTCAGTCTTCCCCCTGCCAATTTCTAACTTCTTCCAAGTGAAGGGCTTATCAAAGGGAAGACACCTTCTACAGCTTCGATCTGGTCTCCCATCAAGCTCACTTAGATTTGAATCTGATATAATTGAGGTCGACTTGGACAAAAATGTTCAAATCCACGTGGGACCACTGAAATTCAGGATTGAAGATCAGCTGAAGCAGGTTTTTTTCTTGTCTTTCTTTGCCCTTTCTATTTTTCCTAGTTGCATTTGGTTTTCAAGATTAAGTCTTAATTATCTCTGGTTCAGCTTCTGTTCATTATTTTTGCACAAGATACTTTAAGGTGTTAATTTTTCGACCATGCAGGAGTTGACTCCGGCACCAGTATTCCCCCTTATAGTTGCATTTCTTGTAGTTGCACTATTTATCAGCATCCCTAGGTAAGTTTGATATTCCATTTATGTTTACCTTAATTTCAACTAGTTTCGGGTCTATGGCAATGTATCTTTATTGATCCTCTCCTCCTAACTCTTTTTGAAGATTGAATGATTTGTATCAAGCCACAATAGACATACCTGCGCCAGGAACCACAACGACTTCAAGAAAAGAAGTGAGGAAGCCAATGTTGCGTAAAAAGACTTTCTAAGTCGCATTGCTACACCACCGGAGGAAGAATACGGTAGTTAACTGTTGCTGCTCTTAGTTTGAGATAGTTAGGACTTCATTCACGTTCTCTCATAGGTTCAGATGTTTTTCTTTTATTAATTTGGAAGGGTAGTATAATTAATAATTCTTACTCGATTCTTAGCAGCATTGTTTTTTTACTTTAGCTTTTTTGGCTGAGTAATAGCTAACAAATAGAAGCAATATCTATTTATTGCCTGTAGTTTTTGTTTATTATATTTTGCAGCGAAGGTATTAAGCTTGAATATTTTGTCCCTTTTTAGAAGTGCCTAATTTTTTTTTATCATCGTACGATTAAAGAACTAGATTTTGTAACTTGATTAAAAAAAAGAACTATTAGCTTGAAAAATGAAGGCCACACAGGTTGTGCTATATCTGATGTTAAAACAGATTTCCCTCGTAAATTATTTGAATCAGATTTTAGTTTCTATCGTATGCATTTTATTTCTTCAAACATTTCTTACATCTTTGGATTTGGATTCGCTAGCTTTCACTTTTGGTACCTTTCATTTTTGTTGGGTGTGTATCCCTGTAACATTTGCAAAAAGAAATCTCGAGGATAAGTTTATTACTTTTGAACAACGGGATTTTACTGACTTGAGTCGGAATTATATAGCAGCTTGCAAATTTTTAGCATGGCATAGTTATGACATCACGTGCTTGTTGTCCTGGCAGCAACTTGGCTCAAAACTCGTTCCAATTTCCTTATGGATATCAATTTCGTACTACACACTACATTATTACAGAGGAAAAAAGAAGAAATGAAAGTGGGGAATCTTTTTCATTTGATAAGTTTATATATTGAACACAATAATATATATATCTATATAAATTTTTTGATATATAAAGATATATAAGAGATAATATTTTGATAGTTTTTTATGTGTTTAGAACAAAACATTATCCTATGGTTTGCTGAGTCTTCTGACACATGTTTTGTCCTAAGAAAAATTGTTCTGTCTAGGCTCTCATTTTTTAGCAAATTAACCACACTCAAGAGGAATTAATATATCACTCTCTAAATTAAACATTGCTATCCCCTAATTTTATTTATTCCAGTTTTATAACGATTTTCGGACGGTTTTTTTTTGTAAAAGAGATGAAATTTTTGGTATAGAATAAATTTCTTGTACATTTCTATCAAATTTTTGGCAAGACTAAATTTTTGGTAGTGTATTTGAAATTTTTGGTAAATTGGAAATTTCAAATTTATGTGATAATTTGAACTTTCAAATTTTAAAATTGAATTTTAAAATTTCTGGTATCCGGTAAAGTCCCAAGAATTTTAATTTTTTTTGTACAACATGATAATGTTTACACCGGAAATTTTATAATTTCTGATACGAAAATACCAGAATTTTTGAAAATTTCGATACAAAATAGTGGATATTTCGCAAATATATCGAAAATTTCTTACTGTCTCACTAAATTTGGCGTTCTCTTGAAATATCCGGTATTGTTATTTTGGGGGTTGGTGAAATTTTAAATTTTTGAAAAATATTTGAGTATGGGTAATTTGGTCTTTCCATACCATTTGGGAAGGTGACATCTATAAAACGGGGGTGACATGTTAATTTCTCCACCCTAAGACATATGTTTTTAATGAGAAATTAATATATCATCCTCTAATTTTTTTATTCCACTTTTATTCTTGAATGAGTTGAACATAGTTTTCGGACGAAATTTTTGGTAGATGGATTGAAACTTTCGGTACCATCCAAATTTCTGGTACACTCCTATAAAGTTTACGATGCCGTAAATTTCTAGTAGTGCATTTAAAATTTTTGGTGTATCAGAAATTTCAAATTAATTGAAATTCCAGATAGTTATAAAAATATGGTTTTTTAAATGGTTGAGATTTTATCGATATATTTGGATGATTCTGATTGCACTGACACATTTGTATGGTCTAGAATGCATCATCATTTGTATAAATAGAGGCATTTGTTAAAGAGAAAATACATCTCAAAAAAATACCTCTTCTTCAATAGGAGTCTGTACCTCTTCAGTAGGAATGTACCTCCTATGTAGGAGCCTGTACCTCCTCAGTAATGGATATTCTAAGTCTCTGACAGCATCCAATCCATAGTTCTGAAGCCTGTGCCTCGTCAGCACGAGCTTCAACATCAACTCTATCAGTGGTCTGTTCCGCAATAGAATCATCTATGTCTATGGTCTTCACTGCAAAATAAAAAAATATCAGAAAAATATAAACTATCAGAAATTTCTAAATTTATGGTATTTTTTTTTAAAAATTGAACTATTTTCAAAATTTCCGATATTTTGTAGCGTATCGGAAATTTTAAATTTTTTGGTATAAATGATAAATGAAAATATCGGGTATTTTGAAATTTTCAGTACAAAAATGCTGGATATTTTGAAATTTCTGATACAAAATATCGAATATTTTGAAATTTCTAATATAAAATACTGAAAATTTTATACATCTACCGTAAATTCTCACTTTTTTACGAAATTTTCGATATCGTTCAAAATTTAAAAATACGGTAGGTAACATGAATCTAGAATTTATAATGAATAATTTGAATTTCGATAATTTAGTCTTTTCGTATTATTTGAGAAAGTTCTATGTATAACGTGGGAGTGAAATTAATTTCTCGTTTTTAATGAGATATAAGAGTTCCCGTGGGCTCTATCCAATTACAACAATATCCAATTACCGCAAGACCTAATATTATAACCCTGCTACCATTTACCCGTGCTGCATTATCTAATGAATTGGGCCACATTTGTTTAAGACATCTGGGAGAACCTATCTTAAATTCACTATAGACAAAGATGTTTTAAATGAGACATAAGAGTTATGGTGGCCTCTACCCAACTACCATCAGACCTAATATTATAACCCTTCTACCATCTACCCATGTTGCATTTATGTAATGAATTATGGCACATTTGTTTAAGACACACTACACCAAAAACAGTTTTCTTATATATAATAAGTTTCAAAACAATTTCTTTTGTCATTCATGTTCACTTGAAAAACAATTTTTTTCATTCTAGTTTTATGTCTTATACTTTATTGCCTTTTGATATTATGTATAGTAATGTGTGGACATCACAATGTTTTTATTTTAGGAGGACATCGTTGTTACGTGTTAATTCTTGATGATTTCATATATTTTTGATAGACTTTTCTAATGCAATAAATCTAAAATTTATTTTATTTTTCTTCAATTTCGATCTCGTATTAAAACACAGTTTGAACATAAAATTAAATAGTTTAGTGTGATAATGAAAAAGAATATGATAAAATTCTTTCTCAGAAATTTGCGAATTTAATAGAACATCTTTCAGATTTTCATGTCCTAACACTTTTCCTTAAAATAGAAAAGCAAAAAAATAAATAAATTGTAATATCAATAATATCATTCACACCCTTTTTGTCCTCCATTCATCCACTAAAATACTCTATCAAAAAGATTTTTTATTTATTTTCATCTTCAAGTCTTTGGGTGTCTTTGCTATCTTCTAATTCCCTCCACCTCTAGAACTAAGTTAGAAGCTAGGTCAACACCATGTGTATTCTTGAATTTTCCATCCAATTATAGGAGATATAAGTGTTACGAGTTGTTACGTCATAAAATATTCATTTCTGATTTATTAATTTTAAAGAAAATATGTTTCTCTTTTCTAACTTAAATGCTTCTGCAATGTCTGAATATAACTTTTTTAGATAATAATTTCACACCTTTTCTTCATTCCTATTCTTGTGCCACCCACCCACTAACAACCTAACTCCTAATAACCTTCAATCGAACACCTCACAAACTGTAACCTAAACAAACATATTCTTACCCAAAAACATCCTCAGCGCCCCCTCACAACTAACCCTCCACACAAAAATTGTCATCCATACCTATTTATTCTTCTCCTTTAAACCCATCCCACTCAACAACTAATTCATCCACCATCAATAGCACAACATGACATTCTTAAACTCCACAAACTCTTTAACCTTCACACCCCATCTCATAATTATGTATCTCCCGGACCTATAAATCTTATTGATGCATAAAATCATCCTAATTGAAAAATGGACATGAAAACATTTTTGTTCTTAGTGAAAATAGGACGTTGGACTTAGCTACTCGTCCGCCTAATGATAATGTTATTTGAAGATTATGGATTTTTAGGCATAAAAAAAATTCAAATGAATCTTTTGAGAGGTACAAATCTCGCCTTGTGAGTAATGGTTCCAATCAATAAATTGGTATCAATTGTGGTGAAATATTTAGCCCCGTAGTCAAACCAGTTACTATTCTCACAATACTCAATGTTGCCCTGTCAAAATCATGATGCCTTCAATAATTAGATATCAAAAAAGTCTTCTTTGCACAAAAATCCTGATAAAACTATGTACATGCATCAAATTCATGGATTTTGTCATCCTTAACACTTGGATCGTGTGTGTTTGTTCAAGAAGTCTCTCTATGGACTTAAACAAGCACCACCCATATGGTATAAGCGATCCAGTAATTATGTCGCAACAATGAGATTTCCTTGGAACATTTTTTATCACTCATTATTTATTTATCATCATGACAATGACATAGCCTATATTCTTATGTATGTGGATGACATTATCCTTATTGCTTTATCCAACTCCCTTCTTGAGTGTATTATGCCCAAGTGTAGTTATGAATTTGTAATGAAGGATATGGGTTTACTATTTATTTTCTAGGTATATCAGTTACAGTCATTCAAGACGTGTTGTTCTATCTTAAAAGAAATAAATAGAAGAGATTATTGAGCATGCATGTAAGTCCTCTTGCCATCCATCACCTATGCCAGTGGATACCAAGGCGAAACTTAGTGGATATTCAGGTGATCCCTATAATGATCCAATAATATATTGCAGTCTTGTCAGTGCATTACTATACTTGACATATACAAGACCATATATATCATATGCAGTTCAATAAATGTGTCTATTTATGC